TTTTCGGATTTAAGGAATATTTAATTCTAGAGAATAGGAGAGATTAAATAATTATGGATGTATTTTACAATGATTCATGACAAGATCAATTAAAATACACAATGAAAAGATAATACATGGATTTTAAGGTAATTTGTGTTGCTTCGAGGAAAAAGAGTGAGCTTATACAATTCTGTGACCATCCTTCTCGTCCTTTTAATCACCTAACTTACGCTCCTCCTCACCACTCCCACTTCCACTTCCACCGCCTATTCTTCCAAATCTTTCTGTGCTGCTGCCAGGCAAACTTACGACGCTACCACCTGATGACACATCACCTTCAAACGCATACCTCTCGTCTTCCCGTCTTTTTCCTTTGTCCTTGTAATTTCCTCCTTTCAATACAGTCCCTCGATTACCGCCACTGATATGATCTTTCTTCTCTTCTGCCCTTTTCTTCGCGGCAAGTTTTGCAGCTGCGATGCTCTTTCGGGACTCTTCTTGATGTTCTTTTGCCAATCTTTCAACTTCACTCATTAATTCCCTCCATGCTTCACCACCACCCGGAGGTTCGTATTGATGCTTTGACTGTCGCCACCTCGCAATGCCTAAATACAACTTACCCACAATCGCATGAACTATCATTAGGGATGCCGTTGCCAGGGTCAGGAAAGGGATGATACTATAGCTTGCCGTATTTTGTTCGTAGATAACCTAAGAACAATGACACCAGGGTTAATCGGAATTTTTGATATCGAAATTGCGGGTACGCACCTGGATTACAAATTGAGGCACATCTTCAATAATAAACCCAATAAAACTGCCAATAAATATCATCTTACTTGCCCGATCGCTCCAAGGGGCTTGCAATGTTTTGATCCCACCGGCCCTCGAATTTAAAATGCTCAACACCTCAACTTCGGCTGAGCCTAGCACCGTAAATGCTGATGCGATGGCAGTATTTGACTTGAACCAACGCAGAAAGTCATCATGATAAAATGCTTCCCTGATTAATGTTCCGGCAGACCAAAAGAAATTAAAGGATAGAGGTACGGTTGTGAATATCATGGATGGGACGAAAAGGAACGAGACGTCTCGAGAGTGTGTCAAAAGGAAAATTATGTCTGTCGTAAAGTCGAAAGGTTTAACGGTCGATAAATTTGGGGCGGTTTAATGATGAACAATGGCAACAAGAATTGTGCAGAAACCTGCTCACCCAAAGCGAAATCCGCCAGTATTAGAACAAATTGAGGTATAGCAACATTCCTAGCCGCCGGATCTCTCCTCTCAGCGGCAATATAAAGTAGTATCACCAGGGAAACCGCGATGCCTGCCAATATCAACACGGTCTTGTTTTCAACCCAAAAGTCGGTTTGAACCGGCGCTCCGAATTTCGAATCTAACATTGATGTCATGGTCCCATTTGCCATATTAGTGGATGGGAGGTTAAACACCAAGTCTTCAAGATCAGAGATGAGTTTTAATGGTGATGGGTCACCAGGTTCGATTCTGATGGGAACGAGAATGTGATCGTGATTTGTTCCTTTGTCGTAGTACCATGCAGAATAAGGAGTCGATATACGTCTAATTTCTACAGGGAGGAATCTCGAGACTTCCGTGTGAATTTCTTTTAACGTCGCTGAGGAGTTTGTGAGAAAGCTCTGTTGAGACTGTGAACCAAATCGAAGAAGCACGGTAGCTGCCTCTTTTATGAAAGAGTAGGGTTTGGGATGTGTTTAGTCAATTAAAATGCTAATTGTAACAGCGTCCGACACGTAAGTGGCGAAAATTACCGGAGTACAGTGTTTTCTGAGAAGCTAAAATTCGATTAAGATAAAGATAGGTATGCGTATGATAGAATTCGGATTTTGACAATCTCGGTGCTTACCCGTAGTAAAATTCCAGGCACCAGGCTTTATACCAGGTAAGGGTTCAGACAAATTCGCATTTAGCACCATCCCATCATCCACTGTAACATAATACGTTGTGTTCGGAAGGTTCAACGTACTCGCGAGTAATTTCGCCTTAAAGGTGGTGGAATTAACGTGATTAATGATCGTTATCAAGTTACTAGGTATCGTTAGCCTGGGTACATCATCGTATCCTGATTGATATACATTTATGCTGCCACGGCCAGAAAGCACGACTTGACCTCGATAATTGAGGCTTAAGAAAAAAGACGTGGA